ACTTACATAGCATTGCTCAATAAAATAAGTTTCATAGATTGTTAACCATTGGTAAAAAGAATATATTTGGCCTGATTTTTTTAAATCGTTCACCGACCGTCGTTTAATTTGACTTTGAAATATAGTAGTAGGTGCAAATTATTGTAAACTATGTGCTCATTTTTTATTATATTTTTTGCACGGAATATTGCTTTAATAAAATTATCCGAAGAGGATCTGGAATTAGCACAAATCAAAAAACGAAAAGATGTTAATCACTGAGATTTGGCGAGTGGTACACTATTATAGAACAAAAGTAGCCTAAGCAAGATATTGATTTAATAATTTGAGCATCTTGACCTCAAAGTCTTCAACCACCATGTGTCTCATTTGTTTAATACTATAAGACAGATCAAAGGTATAATAATAATAATAATAATAATAATAATAATAATAATAATAATAATAATAATAATAATAATAATAATAATAATAATAATAATAATACTCCCACCCAGAATGAGTTTGGTGAGATTCGACCTTTAACCTCATGTCTAGAAATCGGAGAACTAGCTAAGTACTTTAGCCTCCTATCTCATATAATTCCTCCGTTCTTTTATTAACACACCATGCATGTCGGGCACACTTATTTTGGTAATGGGAAAAGGAAAAGAGAAAGAGGGGCAAAAGTACAAAAGTATCCATATGATATAAACATAAGTTAAAGAATCAAGTGTTAAAAGTAAGGGTATTTGCAGTGTAAATATAAATATTTTGTTTCCTAAAATGAATATGCTGCAATATGTGTGAAACTTACTTAAAAAGTAAGTTGTGCAATAATTAAAAAACGGAGGAAGTATATACCGTATATACAAATAAAAATATTACATAACCTTTTTTATTAGCTTATTTAGGTCTCCTTTTAAGCTCTTTAATTACCCACTTGAGTTGGTTGATAAGACATAAGAGTTTAATAAAAACAGTGTATGGTGACAAAGAAAGATTGTTAAACCAGTTGCAAATCCATACTATTATAGGAATCAAATTCTATCATATATCTAAATCCACTCTTGATTGATTTGGGACCAAATTAATTCTTGCCTAAGAACTTTGAAAAGGGGAAGAAGAAGGCAGATTAAAGGGAGTTTCGATTCCAAAAATTTTGCTACATTACACCCCACTATGAATTTAAGGAAGTCGAGCCAAAATCATATTAATGAAAGCTTCTATTCCAAAAATTTGTTACAATACACCCCAATATGAATTGATAGATTCAGGACTTAAAATTTTTATTACAACTTGATCATATATATTATCCGCATAGCAACATAGAAGTATCAAATTCCATTTGAGTATGTTCACTATTTGAGCATGTTTCCATTCATTATTTCTTCAAAATGCTAATTAATGGGTGAAAATATTTTTATGTAACGGTAATTAGTTGAGTTCACCTAGTTTGCCATATTTTAGATCAGACAAGAGAGTCATCTTATTCAAATAAACAACCAATAGTTTAGCACAAAAAGAAGAAAAAACAAGTTGCTACCATTGACCAAATTATGTCTAATATTGTCAAGAGAGGTTGAGGAAGATTCCTACAAACAAGGTATAAACTGATTTGGATTGGTAAAATGCGTGTGGTCAAATTGTTAAAGGAGAAGATCTAGGGGGTAGAGCACGTAATTTAAGGGATGTGGACAAAAACATGCATGCATGGAATGAAGATGGGGCTATACTTAATAGGAAAAATTACGTGTTTGATCTCTCAACAACAATTAGGAGGGGATTGGAACCTAACCACTCAGAATTAAACCCCAAATCTGAATTAACCTAAAGGGTAAATCGGGTGGAAACAAAAAAAAAAAAAAAAAAAAAAAAAAAAAAAAAAAAAAAACATTAAGTCCGTTAAGAACTTGTTGATATTTGGCTATACTTAGAAACTTTGTTTGCAAATGACTGTTATTGTTAATTCCTCTGTCAATTTTTAATATTTAAGTTTTGATCCATTTTTATCTTACAAAAATATTCCAAATGTAAAAAGTGACGCAAGGGGGTACATTCTAGTGCGTTGTTAGTATCAATGGACCAACAATGTCTAAATTCTTATGTTTTTGTCACTTGATTCTTTCCATTTCTTTACCTTGATATTTAATCTTTAGATAATGACAACCAAAATCAGTAAAATGTTCTTCCTTCAGCCTCCTACAGTTCCAATTGTTTATTTTATAAATGCATATGGACCAGCAATACATTCAGCCAAATTCTATTCCCACTCACACTAACCCTTTCCCTTCAAGGACCATCCACCACTAGCTATTGCTATTATTCAATTCTCTATTCCTTCTACTTCTTCCGTTACATATTAGAGCACTCTCAACAATGAGGGAAAAATGATTTCTTCATTCTCTCTCTACCCTTTTTTCACTCTAAAATCCCCATTTTTCTCATGAGGAAATTTGGTGAGGAAATTTAGTGAGGATATTTTAACAACAACAACAACAATAATAATAATAATAATAATAATAATAATAATAATAAAAATTAAAATTAATAAAAAAAAAATTTCCTCACCAATCTCTCTCTTTCTTTCAATACCCCACCAACATTTTCTCTCTCTCCTACAAATCACCATATTCACATTTTTTATATAATAAAAGAATAGCAAGCAAGCAAAAAAATAAATAAGTAGCAAATGGTACTGTTCATTTTCAATTTTCAGTTTTCCTCGTGAGGAAAAACTAATTTCCTCATTATTGTGATGTCCATAATGATCAAATGTCCTCATGAGGAAAAAAATGATCATTGTTGGCATTGCTCTTAGTTACAACTTTGAAATTTTTTGTCTCACATATATAACCCAAAGTTGCAACTAATATGTAACGGAGGAAGTACCTTCCTTAGCTTGCCAATTATCTTTTTGTAGCACCAGGCTACTGTACAAAATCAAAACCCGCTAAATCGCTAATAACAAGGAGGGAATATTACCTCCATGATTAATCACGTTTGCTACTACTTACTCCAAGAACGGGTACAACATACTATCACTATCGCTAAGATGTACTGTAATACAATTTAGGCTACTAATTTAAGCCTAGAATGCTAAGGAAACTAAGAATTTTAAAGAAATGTAAAGTGTTGTTGTTTGATTGTGTGATTCTTACAAGAGTGATTGGTGACGGTTTCACCCATTCAGTTTTCTCCTTTGGTGCCAAACATCATTCTTATTCTAAAATCAGATTCGTATATAATACAGAGCTTAGTAGTCCTAAAGCCAAGTACAATTTGGGCCGCATGACTTAACACTAAGCCCATTCGGCCTAAAGTCAAGTGTATTTGGGCTTGTGTCCTTAATATAAAGTCAAACAAATACTACCTCCGTTTCGCATTACTCGTAAAAGAAGAGTTTTGCAGGCTAGGCAAAAGATATTAAACATTATTATTGAAAAATAAGGGCATATAATTAAGTATTAATCCAACCCAAAAATATAAAAATAAATAAATAAATAAAACGAAAAAAAAAAAAAAACAAATTCAACCAAAATTAAATTCAATAACCCACCACCACCCAGCAGCACCAAAACCACCCAGCACCGAATCTAGCACCACCCATGAAACCAGCACCGAACCCAACGCCACCCACGAACGCAGCACCACCCACGAACCCAGCATCGAACCCACCAACCCACTAATCCACGAACCCACCAACCCACTAACCCAGCGAACCCACTGAACCCACACGAACCCACGAAAACCCACAAATCTGGAAAACCATGAGAATGGTGTTGGAGGAGGAGAGAGAAAAATAATTGGGATGAGGAAGAAGATGAAGAAATTTGGGTTGGAGGAGGAGAGAGAAAAATAATGGACATGAGGAAGAAGATGAAGAAATTTGATGATGAAGGAAGAGAGAGATTATGAAAGAAGATGTTGAATGTAGATGAAGGGGAATGAATTTGGTGGAAAGGGTGAAATTAATTAATCTTGGGTTTAATGTAATGAGATCAGATTTGTAGTTTAATTAGGATGTTTAAAAATAAAGATAAAAGTAATTTCGTCATTTTGCACAAAAAAAATTACTAAAAAAGGAAAGAAATGAATTTGTTACGAGTAATGTGAACTTGTGAAGCAACTATGTTTAGTAAATGTTGTGAGTAATGCGAAACGGAAGTAGTATAAAAAATTGTCTAACAATGAGTTAAATTATACTCCGTAAATTTTTTATGAATATCAAGAACAATTTATTAAAACTAAATATATGAAACTTTTTTTTGTTTTGAAGAAATATACTAGTATGAACCAAATTTAGAAGCTATAATGGCATATAATTTGGGCCAGCATCAATCAACTTCAAAACTTAAGATTAATTTTTTAGTATAGACTTCAGAACTTAAAATCTATACCCAAATTTAATATCTTAAATTACCTCAACTTTTTTTTTTTTTTTCCCCTGTTTTTTTGACAGATAAACTACCTCAACTCTCAAGTGTATAATATACACAAGTAGTAAACATAGCCTCTATTATATATAAGTATATAACCCAATAATATTATAATCCGTAGTAAATTATTAGTAATTCTTCGACTCATGTGTTGTTTAATTTAATTTGTTAATAAATTCATATAGTGGATAGACAATTAGACATCATTATGCTCTCGAGATTTGAGATTAACCAAGTAGGAATTGTGGTAATCGATCTGTACCAATGTTTATAAACTTAAGCTAACTTATCTTTATTACTCTATGTGCATTTTATTATTTTGGTATAGAGAGATTCACTAAGAATAAAAACAGAATTTCATCTCAAGTCTTAAGTACCCCAAATACTTTGATCGATTAATTTAATTAAGTTAGTTGACATCCACAAATTAATTTAAGCTTACTGATAGAAAAATATACTTTATGGAATTCAATATGTCGATAGTTTATACCAATCTGCTCCATACTAGCTAAACAAATAATCAAATTAAAAGACAAACAAAAACCAATTAGAAATAAAAATAAAGAAACAATACAATCAATGTCACATTAAGATCAATATCATAATAATGTTTACGGTTCATTTATTGCATGCATGGAGGCCAGGAACGCTGATTTTCTCAAAGCAAGTTCCTAGCACGTACAGTATTCCCCGTTACAACAAGTTGTTATTACACACCTCAATTTCATAGTTATATATAAATATATAGTACAACATTGCCAATTAATTCTTGAAGTCATTATATATACTTGTATGTATGTAGCAAATATATATCAACTCCAAGAAATTAATTTTAACGTTGATTGTAAAGACTGTTACAGTTAACAGCCATTATATGGCCTATATATGGCCAGCAGGCAATTTAGCAGTAGCCTGGACAGCAGCCATTTCCGGACGAATAGGGTTGAGCGTATCCATATTGTCCTGGACAGCGGCCATCATTGACTACGCCGTAAGGCTTAGCACACTGATCAACCTCCTCGTAGCATCTGTCGTCTTCATACATGTTGGATCCCTGATAATTGAATCCTAGCTCGGACAACTTCTTGTGTGAATCTGCATAATCTCTAAAGAATGCTCTTTGATCCTATCATACATGCAAACAATTTTTCTATTATCATCTTTATAAATTAAACCAAAATACACTTGAACAAATAAACCTAATAATATGTTTTCGTAGCAAAATGGATCATATATACGAGACTACATGTAATAAAAAATAAAAATTCGTGGAGTAATTTGTGCATGATAGTGAACTTGACATACCCTAGCGTAGAGCTCAACAAAGGGACGGAAGCGAGAGTCAGTTAAAAGAGCCTTATCTGTTGGAAATTTCACCAATCCTGGGGTATCACCTCTTAGTAGTTCTCTGATCAAATTATACAAAAAAAAATCAAATTCATGACATTAGCCCAGTAGTAATTTAATTAATAACCAACCCGATAATATTATAGATGTGTCATGCTGATCCAAGAATGTTCAGATATCCACATTCTATTCTTATTAGCTAACTACAAACAAGGATTCGAGAGATTGTTTTTGATACATCAATATATATGTGAAAGAAGTTTAGGGTGCTACTATATACAGATCGAAGTATTTCGTACAAGATAATTATATAATATATCATAAATAGTGATGCATTATATTATTGATGCATATTATGGATCGAAAAAGGAAAATGTTCGAACGAGTTGACATTTAAAGTTCTTACACAAAGTAGGAGTTATCAAACTTGAGAGGGTTCCGAGTGAAATTGCCTTCAAAACCTGATCTATCCTTGTGTGCTCCACCCTTCAATTTTCAAAACAAATCAAAATGCAAAAATTAAGTATATTAATTTATTGCTTTTTATACCCATATTTGATTGATACATAGTCGGACCAGAATGTCTCACCAGTGCATGGGCCCCGGAAAGTACCACAATATCCTTGTCATTAAGGCCCATTCGGTAAAACACATTTCTCAGATGATCCGAACCTAATTATAACCCGTATCGCCATATCCACGTGTGAGTAAATATCAGACACCGAGTATATAATTATTGTAATCGCAAACTAAAAAGAGACGGAAGAAATAATGTGTACCTCCTCTAGGGTTTGGGATGTTGTCTTCGTCTGGAGCATCAGCGTCCTATTTGAAAGATGATAATTATAAGGCATTATATATAATGCTTATTTGCCAAAACAAAATCAACATTACATGAACTAAAATTAATAGTCACGGCTACAAGTTATGATAATACTTACAGCGCGACCTGGAACAAAGTCAATAGCAGGACCTCCAGTTACTTCAACTGCAACAATTCCAGCGAGCTGAGAGAAACAGTAATTCTTTTAATTTAGTCACACTAATTAAAATGACTCATTTCTTGTAATAAATTAAATACAAGTATAAACACAAAATTAAAGTAATCTTTGCGTCTCTGCCTTATATGAATTAACGTAACATAGTTTCTTCAAAAAATAAAAAATAAAAAAATAAAAAAATAAAAAAAATTAACGTAACATAATAGAAGAATCAACTCCGATCCCCTACGCGAAAAAAATAAATAAAATTCTAACTCAGAATAGATGTGATGCTATTACCACATAGCTAGAAAAAGGAAATTTTGTTAATTACTACCTCAAAAAGAGGCTTTGTGAATTACTACCCTAAAAAAAAAGTTTTTAATTACTAACCCTAATTCATCTAAATAGGACCGATTACTACCCAATTGCACTTTCCGGTGACTTAACTCACCTTATGACGTCATTACTCCGATTTAACCACAGTTCACACTAACTCTAATCTACTTAACCTAACTAACCCAAAAAAAAATTATTTACCCCAACTAATCTTACCCCACATTAATTACCTTACCTAACAATCAGAAAAACAGAATGGAAAAAAAAAAGTAAATTCCCTCATCTCTCTCTCTCCTGTACTCTTCTTCTTCGGTTCTTCCCTAACAAAACCCATCTAAAACCCAGAATTCATGTTTGTGTTCGCAGTAATGCAATTATAGGTTGGGCGGTGGCCAAAAATTGAGAACGAAGATAGAGAAATTGAGGACGATAAAGGGTGGTTGGCAGGGGTACGTGGTCAGTCGTGGGTGGCTGGGTGGAGGGGATCGGAAATAATGGAGAGTGAAGGGAAAGAGAAAGGAAGGAGGGAGGAAGGAAAGAGAAAGGAAGTAAGAAGCTAAGGAAGGAGGAAGGAATGGGCTGCTGAAAATTATGGAGGAGGAGGAATGAGGTGGGCTGCTTGGAAATTGGAGGGGACCGGCTGTGGGTGGTCGGATTTTGGAGGGGAGGGGTGGTGCCGTGGTGGTGGTCGGATTTTGGTGGGGAAGGGGTGGTGGTGGTGCAGTCATGGAGGTTTGAAGGGAAGAAGAAGAAGGGAGAAAAAGGGGGGAAAAAAAAAGTTTTTTTGTTTTTTTTTTTTAATTTTAATTTTTTGGGTTAGTTAGGTTAATTAGATTAGAGTTAGTGTGAACTGTGGTTGAATCGGAGTAATGACGTCATAAGGTGAGTTAAGTCACCAGAAAGTGCAATTGGGTAGTAATCGGTCCTATTTAGGTGAATTAGGGGTAGTAATTAAAAACATTTTTTTAGGGGTAGTAATTCACAAAACCTCTGTTTTTGAGGTAGTAATTAACAAAATTTCCCTAGAAAAAATACATAAAAATTTGAAAAGTGTTCTCAAATTTTTTAAGAAATTTTGCTAAATGCAATATGTACTAATACAAATTATTCTAGCTAGAAATTTTGTTAAATTAAATTTCATACCTGATAAAGGTCAGCATATGTAATATCAGGGTGCCTTCGCTTTATTTGTTCTGTAAAAAGGGGAAGATGTTAAAAATGCATACAAAAATAAATACAACCACAAAAATACTATGTAGTTTTTACTGTTTTAGGCTTTGCATGGAAATTTATTATCCTACAAAATTACGTGTATGTTAGTTGTGATTACTTCATAAGTTTGAGAATTTCTTGTTAAAAAAAAATGAAGTAGCTTGTAGAGAATTTTACCACAAAATCTAACAGCATTTTCGATTCCCTTGTTTGGGGGACGGCTCAACTCTTGAGTAAACCTGACGGAGCCATTTGCACCACCTCGTCCTGTTGATGCATCATAGTTCACTGCATCATGAAATCTACAATATCCCCATACCAACTTAGTAAGTAGCTTAGTATATGATTTGGTTATGTCGAAAAGTAAAATATACATAAAAAAATATCAACATTTTTCATACATAATTTTAGTTTTAATTAGATCGTTATTGTAAAACTATGCATAAATTTGTATATATGTTTTCAACGAATTAGTACAAAAGAAAACATGTTGAACAAATAATAAAATAAAATAAATAAATAAATAATTAAATAAATAAATAAATAAAAAAGAGAAAAATACGCTAAGCGAAGGAGGATAGGAGCAGAGTTGTTATTGTTTTGGACGAGAGAATGGTGAAGGTCTCGACGAGCAGCCTCAATCACCCTCCAATAGTTTTCATTCACGATTGGTACTCTTCCCATTTTTGCCTTGATCAAATTTTTAACTCAAACAATTTTATTTATATTCTTGATTTATTCTTTGTTTGGATCACCCATCTCTTTAAATAAGCAAGGAGACGTACAGATTTTAAAAATATTGCTCGTACATGTGTGATATAGTTTGTAAGTGGCGTCTGAATATGCATCTTTTAAAAGTTTATGCTCATAAATTCTAATCCACCCCGTAGCTAAGAAAGCAAGGATTCTCATTTTAATTTTAAAATGTAAGGTAAGAAAAAGTACTATGGTGTCTTAAAACTTCTTACAAAGCAGTGTTATATCATTTGTTCAAAATTTAAAGGCATTAACCTAGCAAAGTGGTAAGTAAGTAACTAATTATGTATACGGTTCTATCCATTGTGAAATGTGATCAAACAATCGAAACATACACTTACCAAAAAACACTTCTAGCACCAAGTCGGTTTACAAAAAAAAAAAAAAAAAAAAAAAAATGGGACAGCAACTATAAACCATATATCAATAATATACTTGGCAATCTGACTCCAAAATTACACCCCCGGTCCAAGCCATATATATTTTTTTGAAAATGAAGCCATATTTGGTGTTATTTTATTTAACATCAATGAAAAACATGTCACAGACTCACAGTCGTCGTCCCACCATAAAACTTCGTTCACTATTTTTTTAGTGCAGTGATACGTAAATATAATATGCATTGTAAATTTGTAACAATGCATAATAAAATTCAGAGGAAAAATCATAGATGCACAACTTACGGAACCAAATTCTATCGAATCCTACCGGCTACCATGGTATTAATAGATAAACTATATAATTTGTTCAATTCTACACGTTAACAACGAAAACGAGAGAGAAGAATAATAGATATATTTAACATGTAATGTATTGGCTGTCCAACTTTATCAGATTAGCCACTAAGGTAGAATCAAATTCTAATTGACCTGTATTGGTATCTTACTATCTTATCTAGAATATCTACGTTTCCCTTTTTTTTCTTTTCTAGAAAGCCTTTCACAATATACTAATAATATAATATTGAAAATATTATTGAAATTTTGGCTTAATATGAAGTACTTGTATAAATTTCATCTTTAACTTGTATAAATTTCATCTTCAACTAAATGTTTTGCTAAAAAGGACTTAAACTAAAATTTTATTGATGATAAGACACGTTAAACAATAGCAATTGATTTCAACTAATTATTTTTCTTAGCTTTCAACCCTTTATGGATAACACTATCAGACGACCCTCTCATCAAAGTAAGGAGGGAATTTGATTGAAGTCTTAAATAGCAAATCGTGAGGGTTCTAATGTACGGATTGTATTGTATAGGTGAAGCTAGAAGCAAATCGATTTAATATTGATCCGCATTATGCGTAGGAAAAGTCTTTATTTTTCTACTAAGAAGAAGTACCTTGTTAGACTGTCGTGTTTTATTCAATATTCATGCTATTTGATAAAGAAAACGTTGATGATCCATTCAAAGTTGGCATATGATACAATGATGTAAACACTAAACAGAGTAAGATTTGCTCTAATGGGCTTGCATGAGTTGCAGCTTGATTGTTTTCAACTTTATGCTCTCTTTTTATACAAAGTGAAATTTGCTATGTAATGGGCTCTACATAATGGGCTAGTACAGGTTGCAGCTTGGCTCTATCTCAGAATTTTTAAGGCCGGCTAATTCTAAAATTGCGCCCTTTTGGTTCAACGAGCTGGTAGCCTGGTATGGACTTGATTGAAGATCCAAACTATAGTGGTATATGCAGATTTAAGATCCCATAATTATCTAAATCTATTTGGTTCAATATGGAATGGATTCCGTTCCTAATTCTATTGCTTGGTTCATGAGCTACTCTAATAAGATCGTACATAATTATATTTGCTAATATGTATAAATTATAAAAGATGATCAAAAGAACAGGTATGAATAATAATATAAATTTATGAATAATAAACAAAGTGTATAAAAACTAGATCATGATTCAAGGATGGGAAGGGAATGCTCAGATTGCTCACACTACTTACACTTTGTGTATATTCAACTTTTTAGGGTTGTTAGCACATGGAAGTGATAGATCGTGATCATTGATCCACACTACTTACACTTTGTGTAACATACAACTAATATACCATCCTCATAATAGTCATAACGTTTTCTGATCGCCCATGTTTTTCAAATTGTAAACTAATTCTATACATTGTTTATTTTAAAATTAAATATTTGCATCAATTTGATACTTTTAAAAATGCCAATGCACATTTTAATGATTGATATTTATAACTATCTATTACTCATCGCTTATAAAAAGAAACATCCATTTAAGACTATTACTTTAATGTTAGATTTCAAATATTTTTCTCTTCTTATTTTAATATAGAAGCGGAGGGAGTATATTTGTGGCAATGCTAATTCAAATTAGCTCAAAATATCTCATTTACTTCATGAATCTTCATGTCTATTAATTACAAATTACCACAACCAGGGTATTTTATACAAGTATTAAATTAATGAAGAAATTACATGTTCAAAACTGAAGTTGCATTTCCATAATGATTTTTTACTTACAATGTTACATCTTAAGTTATCATAATATGTGCATGTTTTAACAGTAAAGCACATGCCAGCAAATACGCTGGCAACTTCTGCATTGTAGTCGAGAACAGAGATCCAGTTTGTCAGTTATTGAGTACATACGAGTATTTATTTTTCAATTTTCCTCCACTCTCACGCATGTCGTAGTTTCTTACGAAGTATTAAGCTCACTATAGCTTGAATTTAATACTGTACTGTCAACGTGATGATTGTACTTTGTATTTTGCAAGTTAAATGTACAAAGATTACTTATAAAGTATAATACATACAAGGTTGTGTTTAATTTATTTTGATTTGTTATGATATTCAATTAGATAACTTAGAAGAAAATTAGTCAAAATTAGTTTGGTTAAGTTAAATCAAATATGACATACGAGTACATGTCTTCTACATTTTCATATAAAGATGAATTAGTTAGTTAGATTTAACTAATATTCAACAAAAAATGTTCAAGGAAGACAAATTCATACACAATGTTTCAACAAATTTAAGTATTTTATCTACTAGTTCTTTGCCCGAGCAATGCTCGGATATTCACTGAAAAAATTACAGACTATTTTTATGAATTATTCTAAGTTTGTATTTGTTTATAGGTTTTGTATACATTTAAATATCTATTTACGTTATCAAATTATTACAAATGAGACACATTAATATAGATTATCTCTATGTTTGTAGTTTGCTGACAAATTATGAATTTAATATTAAGTTAAAATCCTTTTTTTAGTAGGAAATGAACAATTCATTTTATAGATTAACGAATGAAGATTCAAGGGAGTATAGAAGATTTCTAATCTTAATATATAATTAAAAAAAAAATTAGTTTGGTGGTTTTCTATTTGCAATAATAAATTCAGCTGAATTGATTTAGAAATTGGAAATTTTGAATTTTAACACCACAAAAAAACACGAAAATGGTTTTTAACACTACAAAAAGAAAAAAAGAAAGAAAAAAAACTTTTATTTTAACACCGCAAAAAATTCACAAAATTTGATATTACCAACACTTACCAATTTCCGTTTAAAAATCCGTTAAGGGGGGTCTACTGTGCCACGTGTTGGCATATTATTAGTTTTTAAAAAAAAAACCCTAAAACTAACCCAGCCACCCACTTCGCCACTGCCACATTGCCGCCACTACACTACCATAACAACCCCGTTCCCCGCCCCAGCCACTAGAATCTCCACCCTTTCCCTTTCCCCCTCCCTATAATATGTAACCCTACCCCAACAGCCACCAAAAACGAGTGGTCGTTTTTCAGACCACCAATAACGGTCGAAATTAACCAGTATAGAGTTGAAATCGGCCGATTTTGACCATTTACAACCATTTTTGGTGGCGATTTTTTCGTGGTTCGTAAATTGCCGGCCGTATTTGGTGGTTGTTTAGGGGAGGCTGCCAGTTCTGGGGTGGGGGGAAAGGAAGGGGGAGGAATTTCCGATGGATGGGGCTTGGAAAGGGGGTATCGGAGATGGAGCAGCGGCGGCCGGCAGTGGGTGTGGGGTGACTGGGGTTAGTTTTAAGGTTTTTTGTTTTTTTTAAACCAAATATACGCCGACATGTGGCACAATAGACCCCACTAACGGATTCCGTCTAAGAAATAGTTAAGTGCCGGTAAAAGCCAATTTTTTCAAATTTTGGTGGTGTGAAAATAATATTTTTTTTTGTTTTTTTTTGGTAGTGTTAAAAATCAAATTCGTGTTTTTTTGTGGTGTTAAAATTCAAAATTTCCTTAAAAATATGAAGGGGTAAAAAATTACTAATTTACTATGACTACGTTATTTGTTATTTTAAAACTTTTTTAATCAGTTATCTCACTTTTTTTTTATTTATTATTTATTAATAAAAAAAAGTCTTTATTTATTTAAAGCACTCACTGGCGGAGACAGCAAGGGACAGGGGGGACAGCTGTCCTCCCACTTTGTTTTTTTTTTTTTTAAAAAAAAAATAAAATTGTTTATATATATTTCTTTTGTTAAATAAGTTATATGAAATAAGATAGAGTAGTGGTCTAAGTTCTAGCAATAGGGATTTGTTGTGGAGTGGACGCGGGATCAAACCTTGTTCTTTTTTTCTTAGTTTTTAATGTAAAATAATAATATCAATAAACCCCAAAATTCTGTTGCAGTCATTTTCTTTCTTTCTTTCTTTCTTTTTTCCTGTATTTTTTAATGCAAAATAATATAGTAAACTCAAATAATTTTTCTACTTAACAATTATGCCATATATTAATTTAAATAATTCAATTTAAAAGTCCCTCGCCTAGGGTTTGCTCTTGTCCCTCGTCTAGGGTCTGGTTTCTGTTCTGTTTCGTAGGTTCTTAGTGGTTTTCAGCTCGATTTCTGCTGTTTCCCCCTGATTTTTCTTGGCCTTTATTTCCTTTGCAAGCAATGGAGCCTCAATTGTTGAATGAATTGGAAAATTTACGTTTATCTAAGGAAGAGAACAAGTTAATTGGCAAATCTGATGTTTGCGATGTTGATGATGATA